TTTTGCCAAAGGTGTAAAAAAAAAAAAAAAAAAAAAAACACAACCCAAAACAACTTGCTGAAGTCAACAGAAAATCCTTTCCTGGTCTTGGATCAAATGTAGAAGCAAAAAAAGTAAAAATTGTTAGAAATTTTTTTCTTCTGGGGAAGGGTGAGTGGTTTCTTTGGTGGTTACTGAGCACTAATTCTATATTTTATTTTTTTTTCTCAAATTCAAGCTTTTAGCATAGCAGTGCAGCTAAAGATTGTTTATAGAGACTTGTCTGGAAAACTAAAGACTGATTTTGCAAAGCAGAGTAAGGCTATTTGTTCTATTCATTTTCAACTGCACTGCTAAAAAAAAAATGACCATCCTCTCTGATGGATGCAGTTCAATGCAGGAAGGGTTGGAAGTCCAAAGTTATTATTTTCTGTAGAGTTTATGGTCTGTGAAACTGAAATGGGAAGCAGAATTTGAGGGAAAGTAACAGCAATTACTTACGAGAGTTTGTTTGAATTTTAAACAGCTTCAGATTAGATGTTTCATTCTAAATTGGTGGTTACTGATTAAGAGAGAGTTTTAGGGAGGCCAGATAGCTCTGTGGGGTAGTGCATGGACCTTTAACCTCCTGGTATCTGCCTAGGTCAGGTCAGAAGTCAGGATTCGGTCATCTTATCCTGCTCCTCGCAGGGAACAGGAGTATGTGGCGCTGGCAGCAAATTGCTGTTCCAGCCCTACCCTCTCCATCCTGCCCCGCATTTCTGACTTACCGTGACCTCTTCTGTGGACCTTCTCTCGGTGGCTTCCCCATGTACCTGACACCTCAGCAGCTTCTCTCCAAAGAGGACAAGTTTCCGCGTCAGTCACCTTTGTGTCATGGTTGTAAGCCCCAGTCTAGAACTTGTGCTGAGGAGCACGGAGTGATTTGTACTGGTAATTAAGACAGAAGTTAACTGACTTTTCCAGATGACACAGTAGACTCATGACTGAGTCCTGGGGGCTGCCTGCCCTGGTACTGCACCCCAGTGATTGCAGTATTTTCCAGGTGCTGCATTTTGGGATGCCCTGATGGAGCCAGGGTGTGTATTTCTTCGTGCGCTGTTGACTCAGATCCTGCTTGGTATGAAAAAACCAGGTTTTCCAGTGCAGAGGAGAACAAGCCGTAGTCTCCTTTCCTCTCTAGCTAGATTTACTGTTGCGAGTGTCAATTTTTCCAACATTTGTGTTAGCAGAGAGCGCAGCCCAGAAAATCTCCCTGCGTGAACACTAATTATCTAAGTAGACTTTTCCATCGATGTTTGCTTACACCATAAATTACTGTTTCTTATGAGTGTACACCTGGCAACACCTTCTGCCTTTCATAACGCTACGGAGTGTTAACGAATTGGCTACAATTCAGCCATTTTCACCTTTCTCGGTGCTTTTTTAAAAACAAAAAAAAGCACCAATTAAAAAAAAAACAAACACCCAAACTAATCCCGTCTTGGAAAATAATAGTAACTGCTTCAGTATTAACTGAGACATTATTTGAAAACTTTACGTCTCATGAAGGGGACACGCAGATATCGCTGTTGAAAACTCTGAAGGAAAATGTGTGCCTTGCAAGGCAGAGTGGAGATACCCGGTCTCTGGTTTGGGGGGTGATCTTTGGTGCCCGTGTGGGGCTCAGTACTGCCACTGGGTTAGGGATCTGGGTGAGCTTGTTTAGACTTCTGCCCATTAAGTGGCACAAATTAAATTTTTGCTCATGTGTGTTAAACATATACGATTTCCTAGGTATGTACGTGCTGTGGGAAGAAACCACAGATGCCTGTTTCTAAAGGCAGCTGGATAACTGAAGTATATACCTATAATTCTAAATCATAACATCTCTTTAGTCTAAAGGAGAAAAAGCAGGGATTTTAGGAAAAAGCTGTGGATTTTAGGCTTTCTTGTTACTCAAAAGTACGTCAAATTTTAAGTGATGTGGTAGCGCTAACATATCATTGTTATTCTGCTTATCAAATCTATGTATATTCCAAATTCTGTTGGTGTTTTGAATAATGATCATTTTAAGATTGAAGCTTGTTTTGGGTGAATGGATGTTAAAGACTGAGGCCTCCAGAGCTTCTGGAGGCTGTGCTGTCCTCTTGTTAGAGGGACAGGACGAGGTCACTGCAGACTTAGTTCAAAATCGTTCTGAAATAGAGAGAGAATTGTATTTTCTTGACACCTCTATACTAACAGATTTGTAATGAAGGAATCCTCGGAAAGGACTGAGTCTTTCTGTGTTGGTCTGTGTTCAGCTAAGTATCACAGCAACTCATGATAATTCTTGTACGCTAGTTTGTCTTGAATCCGGGCATTGCTATGTGGAAAGAAATTCTGCTGGAGATCTTTGTAATACTTTGAGCAACTAGAATAGCTGGAACCAAACTTGGCCATATCTGCCACCACCAGTTGATGTAACGCCATCCGTCCCTTCCAGAAGAGGCAATCATCCCTTGAAGACTTTAAGAACAAAGTAAAGGGAAGGAAAACGTGAAGCTTTCCAGTAATCCTCCAGCCACCTCTCTCCTGATGCCTTGAGCTAAGAAATCTCTCCTTTGTATTCTCTTTATCGCAATCAGATAGTGACCTGTAGCACTTTGTCCCTCCAACTGGGGAATGTCTTGAGTCAATTTGCACTCAGGCAGGCTAGCAGGAGGGTGTATGTGCTGGCCAAGATAGCTTCCAGAGCGAAATTCCTCCACCGTGACTAATTCTGGGTGGTGAATTTCAAAATCGAACCTTTTAGGATTTTTTTTTCAAGGTATGCACAGAGTTCCTACAGCAAGGAGAAAGGGATCAATTATTGAATGTCTAAATATTTTTTAGTATTTATTTTTTTATCCATCTCTAAAGTGATGATAGCTCTTGCTTGTGCGTTTAAAGGCATTTTATAATTTCTTTGAGTGGATAATCTAAATCCTCTAGGAGAGACCACAGGAGCCTTTGCTTTTCTGTACACCACCCGGAAAGCAAATGTACTTCTATCAGTTGTTACTGTTTAAGTATTAACAGGTACGTGTTTTCACATATGCATTTTGATAAGCTTCATCCCTACAGTCGTCTTACACACATTTAAATTCAGCCAGGTAAATACAGAGTAAAGAAAGAGTTCCGACTCTATAGGGACTGTAAAAGCCTCTGGATGTTCTGCACTGGATCTCTCTACCTGAGCAGTACCAGTGTATGTCTAAACTGTGCTGATTTTATGGGGAATCATATTTTGCTTTCTAATCCTTCTTTCTTTTGAAATTGACCCCTTTTTACCATTTTTTGCTAAGTGACAACTTTTCATGATGTATCTGTTCACTGAAGACACGTATTTTAAAATTAAACAGAACCGTCCATGATTTTTAATATGAAACTCCAGAAGCAAAATGTTTCCTAGATTTTTGACCAATATTTCTTGGCGTTTTGATTGCAGTTTAGATTTCCCACCCCAGTTGTATGCATTTGATATTGATAATGTAGTTTAAAAATTGTATTTAGAGAGACTGTTTGGAAGAACTGGTTAAAAATTTGATGGAGGAGATGGCAAAAAAAGAAAAGCGCCTCAGTAATTTGCTAGAAGTGTTCATACCTGGTCAGGAAAAAAAACATGTTGAGATGATATTTAATGTCTCAATAAAGTGCCATTTTTGGGTACGATGCACAGATAAAACATGAAAATAGGTATTGCAAAGCAATAAAAAAAAAGATAGCAAAAGCAGTTATTAAGCTGTGGTGACAAAGTATCTGAAGGGTCAAACTGTAATTTGGGATGCTTAGAATGTGGTTGTTCCCTGAATTTCCCTATGGCAAGTTGGAAGGGTTACCCTGAAGATCAGGTGATGGAGTAGGTGGATCTGTGTGGGTTTTCTGTGGGATTTTGAAAGAGCTCCATATGAAGTAGAGCTTCAAGAAACAAAATAGTAGAAATAACAGGATAATAGCTGGCAAGGAGCTGCTGAGGTTGGAGAGCTGGATGAGCTTCCTACAACTGATAAATCTCTGGCTGTGGACACTTGTCCTTTGCTGGACCCCATGTGCCTGGTGAGGATGTTTCTGCTTTCAGCACGTTGGTGCTGCCCTTGTGTTTTTGCCCTAGAGGGTGAGTTCACGTGAACGCCCTAATATGTTCCGTCTGCCAGATGAGCTCAAGTCATCTGTGTCAACAGCTTAAACGGACCCCGTTGGTATTACCCAAGGAAAGAAACTTACTGGGGAATATTTGGACACCTGTAGCACTGGTGTCTTCAGATAGAAGGGCCATCAGGCTACAGGCTACACCTGTAGCACTGGTGTCTTCAGATAGAAATGAGCAATCAGGAGGGAGCGGATGACTTTAACCTGCATTACCAGAGAGACTTTTTTTTTTTAATTATTATTTGTTTTTTCCCTTTCAAAGTGAGTATCACTAGTGTAGTTCATCCATACACAGAAGGCTGGGGTAAGACCTGTGTCCTGTGAAAGCACTGCTTTGAGTTTCTTTTGAAACTAACTTTTACATAAACTGGTGCGATTTTGGGGCTGGCTGTCAGTGATAGCACCAGTTTTGCTGCCCGAAGACAGGCTTTGCTGGGTCTGGGCTGTATGATCAGGGCATTGCAAGCCGTGTGGTTGCAGGGATGTGGCATGACCGCTATGTGTCTGAGAATAAAAGGCTCAATTTGGGTTTTCAGCGGGAGAAGATGCCGTCATCCCCAGCGAAGGGGGGATTTTCTGGCCTTTGCAATGCTGCACTTGTAACCAGAAAGCAGTCAGCCAACAAGCTGAATCTAGCTGAATCCAGACTCATGACATAAATGCCATTGTGTGACGATGTGTCATAAACGCTTTGGGCCTCTGCAGCAGTTGTTTAGCTTAAACCAAAGAGGCTTAAGCTGTTGTTTTATTTTAAAGATATTATCTCTTCTCATTGGAGTTACAAGAAGGGAAATTGCATGAATACTTTTCAATATTGCCATCCAGTATATCCACTTGTGGCTGTAAGTTAGTTATGTTTTCTTATTGAATGCTAAACAATCTCTTGTGTTTTCCTATCAAATTAATTACTTGCAGCTTGTTACCGATTTTTATTTTGTTTTAACTTCCGTGGAGCCATGATCTGTTCTTCCTGTTTTGCAGTCAAATAAGTTAAAAACACTTGCTCGGATTCTGAGCAGCATGATGTAACTTGTAGTGGCAAAAAGTTCAGGTCGCTTTGACCAAGTCTTCCTTGCTCATAAAGCAAGGGCTCATAAATAGCTCATAAAGTAAAATATTCAAAATATGTAGCTGTTGTATTTGTGTTTATCAGTGTTATGACAGTAATTCTTCCTGGGCCAAACTTTGAGTTTCAAGGTTGCTTAGCAGAATAACCAGACAATAAAATAACCCTGATAAACTCCTTCTAGCTTTATGAACTTATGTCTTAGCTTTTCATAGTGTGGGAAAAATCAATATATAGCTTTGCTGTATACCATCAAGATGTGGGGGCTGGGGAGAGGAGCTGTAAGTTTGAGCTGGAGATTTTGGAGTCGTTTTGTCACACGTTTCTGCGACATTTGGTTAACATCCATGCCCTTCACCTGCTCCTGGAGTCTCGTCTGTTTTCTTTGTTTTTCAAAGCCAACATAGTTGTTAGCTAATATTATTAGCCCGTAACTGGACAGTAATAGTAATAACTAGCTAATTAGCTAATTACTAACTGGGAGGACTAAGAAAGCCAGGAGCTCCTTACAGAGTGGACTCTTTTCTTCCAAGCTTTGAAGTTTTACCTCCAGCAGGTGTGAGAGCTAAGCTCTTGGCACCAGAGCTGCAGCGCTGCATAGCCTTTTCCAGCCGGATAAGGACCTACACAATAGTCAGGCACGAAACAGGATTTCAGATCTATAATTGCAATGATCTCTTAAGAATATGTAGTTACTGGAAGTGTCACTGAACGGTCCATAAATTTTTCTGGTGTACTGTGCTGAATTACTACTTTCCATTTGGCTGATTAAAATGACTGTACCAGATTGTATTTTTATTCCATTTGCTGAAATACCTACTTTGCAGTTTAAAAGTTGCACATTACAGCTACATGATGTTAAGATTTCTGAGTGCTTTGTCAAAAATGTAATGCTAAAACAAGGGATTAGTGGACAGCCAGCAAAAGGTTGTTTTGGGAGCCAACTTATGATGCAGGAAATATATATGTGTACCGGATGACTCTATATCCTTCCAGTATTGGGCTGGATCCTATTTTCTGCAAGACCAATGCCAGCGCTTCTTTTGAGTTCAAATGGGAACAGAATCAGCACCTTTAATACATTCTGTCTGAGAAGGATTGTATGAAATGAATCCATATCCTCATGCTCTGTTTCCGTGAGGATTTTCTTCAGGCGTTTTTCTTGAGGCAGCATCTTCGTTTCTTTCCTGTGGTGCCTCAGAGCAGCAGGAGATGTGGCCACTCTGTATGTCTGTACGAGGGCTCCCAAACATTGCCATTCTGTACTTTGTTTCTCCAAAACACGGCCTGTGTAATTGAGCTATTAGAGAAAGACGAAGACTTTGTATGGGATCATATCCATCTTGTATTGCTGGTGGGTAGTTAATGTTATCAGATGATTGTTTGGAGACAGATAGAAATCATAGAACAGTTTGTGTTGGAAGGGACCTTAAAGACCATCTAGTTCCAACCCCCCTGCCATGGGCAGGGACACCTTTCCCTATACCAAGTTGCTCAAAGCTTCATCCAACCTGACCTTGAACACTTACAGGCATGGGGCAACCACAGCTTCTCTGCCCAACCTGGTCCAGTGCCTCACCACCCTCAGAGGGAATAATTTCTTCCTTATCTCTAATCTAAATCTCCCCTCTTTCAGTTTAAATCCATTGCCCCTTGTCCTACCACTACACACCCTTGTAAAAAGTCCCTCTCCAGCTTTCCTGTAGGCCCCCTTTAGGTACTGGAAAGCTGCTATAAGATCACCTTGGAGTCTTCTCTTCTCCAGGCTGAACAGCCCCAACTCTCTCAGCTTGTCTTCATAGGAGAGGTGCTCCAGCCCTTGGGCAGGAAATATCCTGAGGGTGTAAATTTGCTTTAGAGTGGATTGAGAGGTAAAGCCTAGTAAGACAATTGATGCTAATTGATGCCATCCTCGTAAGCCTGGTAGGACTGAGTGTGCACCGATGTCTGCAGTGCTTAGATCAGGGACAAAGTAAATTTAGAGCAGAATGCGTGAAAACTCTCACTGCTGCAGCCATGCTGTACCTGATTAGGCATAAATAAAGTATTTCAGTGTCCAGAAATGTCAAACAAGCACAGAAGAGGCTTTTAAACATGTATTACACAAGGTTAACTATTCAGAAACCGGTTCTTTTGGAGGGGGAGAGGGTGAAACTGTGCTAGTGAAGTTCCCAACCTCTCTGGTTACAACTCACCAGGTCCGTAACCAGCACTGGAGTCTCATCATGGAGAGCGTGGTCCCATCTGACAAGGGAAATTATACGTGTATAGTGGAAAACCAGTATGGATCCATCAATCACACCTACCATCTCGACGTTGTTGGTAAGTAAAACTCTGTCACGTGTAAGGCGATGTTTTTAATTAATGTCTTTCTCTATTAAAACATTTAGAACTAAGCTGATACATTTTGCATTAATTTTGCAGATGTTTTCACAGTAGTCTAAAGATAAGATTTCACTACATAATGCTACATAACTGTATATATTCATCTGTCTCACTCGTGTCTGTAGGACAAATCTACCCCATGCCTTGACAAAGGTGTACTATCCATGTGTGCAAGTGAGTTCTTGTTGTGATACACCTACAAGCTTACCATGACGAACAAGTAATAAATGCTGATGCAATTTTAATCATTAGTATTAAAATTTAATTATTTCTTGTATAATTGTACTAACACAAATTTTAATAACTGCAGTTATGAAAACTGCCAAGTGATCCTTTAGATTGCTGTTATTATAGCTGAAATTATTATTATTATTTTTTTTAAATGGAAAGTTAGGTATTGACTTTGAAGCTAGTGCAGATTTGGAGCTCCAAGAAAGGTACTTTGCATTCACAGCAGTATAACAGAGATCCGACTGTAGCCCATTGGGTGGGCTATAAGGAGTGCTTGAAACAGATGACAAAAATTGTGAATAGAAACCAGTTGTACTTGAGGACAAATTCTAAAAAGCTGTCTGTATTCTTAGTAGTAGCAAAGCTGTGATTCAGCAGGACTATTAAGCACATACTTAGTAACACTAACTTAATAATACCAAAATCCTGTTGACTTTAATAAGACTTGCACATATTTATTTCAGTGCTTAGCTAAGTTGGGGCTTGAAATCTCGGGAACTGATTCCATTCACCCCTACTCTTGCTTATTAGCGTGGATAGTGTGAGCAGTTTTATTGACTGAAGGTATTGCTGCCCAAAAGTAGTCAGTTTGACTGTTGTGATAGGATCTGCTGGTGATACCTTTGGAGGAGATCTGAGCTGCAGTTTCTGAAGTCTTGAATGGGCTTTACTTTCTCCAGGCCTATGGGATGATCTGAGCATCGCAAGCTCTGTGAATAAAACTTTTGATCAATCAATACTGAAAGCAAAAATTAATTTGATTATTGTAAGCTATTTTTGTCTGGTGACTGATAGCCGAACTTACCTCCTATGGAGAATCTTACTGTGAGTTTGGGTTTACATGACCAAAAAAGTGGCCAAATTTTCTTTTCCTTATTTCTTGATTGGTTTTTACATGAATAAAAATGCATCTCTCACATTGTTTTGGATGCTCTTTAAAAGTAGTGTCTCGTTTTGTCTGGGACCACTTAAATATGTGGAAACCTCCCAGTCCAAAAGAAAACAAGTGTCAGCTTGTCAGGCAGCAAGAAGTGAAAACATTCCTCACAAAAATGGCAGTGAGAGCTAGCCTTTGTGCAACAGAGGAGGAAAAAGAGAATTTTGTGATGGGGACACCATCCGAATCAAGCCCTATCACCAGCCCCAAGACTTTTAAGTCTTCAAAGCCAGTGTGTGAACCACTCAGCTCACCTGTACTTGGCTTTAGATAGTCAATGCTGAAGGAGTGAGAATTTCTATATAGCCTTGGTGATATTTCGTTGTCCTCAGTAGTGAGCTATGGCTACTGTTGAGGTGAACCAAGCCACTGGCAAAGCCATTTTTATTCAAACATTCGTTTCAACAAAGTTTGTGGAGGGTGCCACAGCAGTGGCTGCCAGAGATGGTAGTAAATTGTGTTCTGCGTGCCTCTGTCCCCTGCTGACCACCTTTCCAGAGGGTGTGGGCTGCTCGCCTGGGCTTGATTTACAGAGCCTGGCTCAGGAAGAACATAAGGAGATGATGAGTTGTGGGATTTTTGGAGGTGTTTTGGGTTTTCTTTCTTAATCCTTTAGGGAGCCTATATTGACGAAACTTTGGTTTTGCTTAAAACTGTTTTTAGTAGGCTACGTGGGAGGAAAAAGCCAGTTTTGCAATATTGGGAGTTTTCCTTGCTGAAACTAAACTGGTTAAAAATTCCCCTTCCCTTCTCTGTCCCCTGGTCTTTTTCCTCGTTACAATCCCAGTCCCAATCTGGCATACTTTATGTTGACCGTGAATTTCTTCCCCCATTTTTTCTAGCAAATGTGTTCATGGATGATGCAGTCACTTGGGCAAATATTTGTCAGAAGCCCTCTCCCCCTTTGAGCCTTTTGAATGTCTTGCATTGAGGAATATTATGTAGAAGTTTATTTTTCCTGGCAGTAAATTATAGTGACCTGCATGAATGAATGGAATGGTAATAAGGATTATGTCATTTATTTAAATGTCTATTCCTTTCCTACAGAGAGACAGAAAAGTAAATAATGAGATTTTTCAAAAGTGACAAGTGATTTGGGGTGCTGGGTACCCAGCTGATGGCACCCAAAGGAGCCTAGATTTTCTCTGGGCGAATATTCCAAAAGTGGCTTCTGCAAATCCCAGCCTGTATCTTGGAGCTCTGGGCACTTAATCATTTTACATACGTTAATTTGATGAGTTAAAGGCTGTAATTGTTACTTTACATTGAAAACATATGTATGGCAATGCGCACTCTGAAAATTCCTGAATTTACTGTGAGTCTTTCAAGAGATACGGCATTGGGACTTTAACCCAAAAAGGGATTGATGTTAGAGAGCTCAGCCGTTTCTGTGTTGCTGAAAGCTTGTAATAATCGTGGAGGTTGGGCATAAAATTGCTGAAGCAGTAAATTAAGGCTGGCCAGGAGGGGAAACTCTGGCAGTTCTTCTAGTTAAGACAGTTCTTCAGAAGTTAATTTTGTGCCTTTTTTTTTTTTTCTGTTTTCATATGAATTTTCAGTTCCCACAGGGTTGTGGAGAGTTATGGGTGTTTGTTTAGAAGCAATTGCGTATGTAGACCGCATCTTAGAAACTTCAGGTTGTAATTTTAGGTCAAGTTGTGTGTGGAAAACTGTCAGTTGAAAGCCTCCGAAATTGCTTTTCCTAGATGGTTTAACTGGTTCCAGAACTGATTAAGTGCAAGTAATAGAAAATGGTATTAAACATGGTAACGTATTACACTAATATGAGCATCTGACTATACGGTGTAATGTAGAGAACCCTCTGATTATGTCACAGATTTGGGAGGTATCCCAACAAAAATCATGCCAAATAATGACACAATGCTAGTTAGGAATATCCAGTATTGCTTGATGCCAATAACTTTCCAAACCTTGAACTCTTTTGACAATTAAAAGCCTGGAGCCAGCAGGGCTGAGTAGTTTTCAGTCAGAATGTAGGTGTGAAGTATTCTCGTTTTTTACCTTGTAATTACTTGCAGGAACCCTCTTAAAACAGTCAGCTCAGCTCAGATGGTCTCATTCAAATTTACAAACCTGGCAAAACCGTTGCACTGAATTTTTTTACAATGGGAGTAGAAAATACTGAAGAAAAAAGCAGCAAGTTGTTGGCAGCCTTTCTGCGTTGCACGGGATGCTTGTGCATGTTGACGGTGTTAGTGGGGAATTGTCCAGTCCAGTTGGCCAGGATATTCTGTGTTGGAAAAAGTTATTCTTTAAATGTTTGGGATACCCCAATCCACTGCCTTTTCCTCTTTTCTCCTCCTCCTCCCTTTCAAAACAAGGACTTAAGCAGGCTGTAGGCAGGGCTTTGCTCAGGGATACAAATGTGTTAGATTGCGGTAGCAGCAAACGGTGGAGATACAAAACTCCGTTAGGAGCCTGTGAAAGGGAGAAGAGTCGATTTGAGCTTTTTATTGGAATACCACCCAAAGGCTTCAATTAATATCGGATACTTATTGTCCAAGGCAACGTGCCAGCACATGGTAATTGCTGACAACCGAAACGCGGAGGGACTGGGAGAAGGAAATGTCACTGTCCATTTTATAGATGAAAAACCGAGCTGTTGAGCGATGAAATTTCTTGCCCTTGGTCACACGGGAAGCTGGTGGCAGAGCCAAAAAATAAAGCTGGTACTTGAATCCTAATCCAGTAACCTTAATCAAAAGAATGTTCTTTCCCTTGTACAGTTTAGCCCATCAGCTGTTTTTTTACGTGCAGCTGAAGTGCCTTTCTAGTCTTTTGTATTTAACGGTAGGTAGAAGCTCAGGTTTTTATGGTAAGCTTACTAATAGACTAACTCCATTCTCATTAAACATCTCTAAAGTCATGCAGTCTTAAGGGAGGACGATTGCAAACGATGTGGTTTTCACTTATGAGTTGTATTGTAGTGAATCCGGGTTGTAGGAAGCAACGTGGGAATGCAGCCACTGAGACTTGTATATAATTAGATCACTCTTGGATTGCAATTATCGCTAGAGTACGATTCCAGCAGTGGCAGTTCTGTTTAAGTGTGGAGGTAACTAATTGAATTTTGAATTTATATTTTAATGGCAAAAAAAAAAAAAAAGGTTAGTCCTTGAACATTCCTAGTGCAGGTAGCCATTTCTGTCCTATTTAATGTCATCATCCAGGGAAACAAAAGATGGTTTGGTTTCAGATGAAGATGGGCACGTTACCTCATTTACTGGGTTTTATAAGCAGCTGCCATAGCACGACACGTCTTCCAAGAATGTGTGAGAAGACCCTGTTGTTTACTATAAAAATGAACGCGATCTGTTACAAACATATTTTTTTAATTTAAAAAAAAAAAATCCTTTTGCAGCCAGTTTAGCTGTGCTTTGACCAGTTTCCAATCTACCTAATAGCCGTGCCTGTGGTTCTCGTTACTGAGGAGTGAACTCCAGAAGTGGCAGAGTACCATGCAGTTGTCCCTTAACAGTAATTTGGATTTTCATATGAAAACAGGGTGAGAATAACTTCTCATCCGGGAAGCATTTTAAATGACTGTCAGCCTAAAGCTTGTGCCCCAGAAATCTCATGTATGAGTGGTTTTACTGATGGATGTGCAAAAAACCACTTTTATTCTGAACTCTTGGAAGTTTGGAGAGCTTTAGGGTGAATTTTTTTCTTGCTTTTTACAGCACATTATTAAAAAAACCCATAAATCTACTTTTTGCTATTGATACTTCAATGTTTATATTTCCTTTAG